GCTCCATAGTAGGTTGTGGATGGAGTCGTGAGTGAAATGGGTGAAATCAGCCCATGGGCTTTGGAGACTGCAGACCTGTCCAGCCTCTGACACCCTGGTCAGTCAGTGCAAAGATTACAACAGTGACAGCAAACTAGCATGGCTGACTCCATCTGGCATCTAGTCTCAGGCTGGCTGTCCTCACTCATTCCTGGACATAGGCCAGGCTAACCATGGGAGGAATTTAATTTATGGTTTAACTTTGAAGCAAGAATGATAATAGTTCCTCCATAACACTAATACCCTTCTTTTGCCCAGGGATTGCCTTTGTAAAACTGGTGAAAGACCATGAGAATAAGATTGTAGGAGGGAACTGAATTCTGCTAAAATGGAGGCACAGTTTCTATAATCCCTTACTGCTCAAATGTCATTTGCCCAGAGTTTACAAAATTTGTATCTATTTGCTCCTATAAATAACATCACTATTGTAGAACCTGAGATTGGTCTTTTGAGATGTTTCTCATTCTTTGCATTCTGGAAACCCGCTGACCTCATCCATACCCATGACTAATGGCTCAGTCAGTCACATGGTCCCCACCTAGAGGTGGATTCAAGCACAAACAGATCATTTCCCTCCGCCCTCATGACTCCATCCCCAAACAGTCAGCAGTACCCATTTTTTAGTCCTGTGCCCCTGAAACTATCCTTGAAAATCTCTAACCCTTGATCCACTAGGGAGTCTGATTTAAGTAATAATAAACCTCCATCCTCCTGTTTGGCAGACTTGGAGTCATTAAAATATTTCTTTACTGCAAATCACTATCTGGATAAATTGGTTTTGTTTGTGCAGGAGGCCAGAAGAACTTGTCTGGAAATTATAAGAGTGGATGGAGGAGCTGCCTATCCCTGTCCCATGGTCTTGTCCACAGAACAGCCTCACAAAAGGACAGAGCCCTGAATGGGGATACAGTGGAAGCTTATTCTCTTAGTGACCTGGGGACATTGGCTCAAGATGAAACTTGGCAGGAGTGGAAACTCCAGGCGATTTCTGTGCCTTTCCTGTTTCCTGGGAGGTGGGCCAGGCCACAGTGTTAGCAGGAAGGGAACAGAACAATTAACCTAGTTAGAGGGAGTGTCTGGGGGAAGGCCTAGGGGTGGAGGAAGAAGCTGTGCAGGACAGGGCTTCCAGGTAGAATGAAGTGGGAGGAAGATGAGGGACACAGAGAAGCAGAGAGAGGCAGAGACAGCATGGCAGTGAACAGTGGGGGCTACAGTGACTTCAGAGACCCCAGAGGCCAGGATCAGGCCTGAAAACCCTCCAGTGAAAAAAGGGCTTCAGAGTTACATGAGATGGGTTGGCTTTAGGGGCAAGAGTTAGTGGGGGATGAAACATGGGTGTCAGCCTCTGAATGACAAGGGACAGGTGTGGCTAGACCTCCTAGGATCCTGCATCCAAGATCCAGTCTAAAGAAGTTATGGATCATTCATTTCTTCATTCAATTCCTTCATTTGTTATGTGAGAGTTCCTGAGTGTGTGTCTCTCACTGGGCCTGTGCTGGTGCGGGGTGTGAGTGGGGAAAGAAAAAAAGATTCTCTCCTTTATCCTGTCATGCCAGTGACATGGACACTTTGGGAAACACAGGATTTCAGGTTCAGTGATAGTGGTTAAGATCTGAGGAGGAGACCCGGACATGTTTTGCACTGACTCTGACAGTTGAGGCAGGTGATTTAGTTCTGGAGTACAGACTAATCAGCTGACCATTTGCTCTCACTCCTCTGAGGTTTGGACGCCTAAGAAGAGAGGATTTGAGCCAATGAATGACTATGGGGTCCTTGGAACCCAAAAAGCCCTCACTTCTGGTGGAGGAGAGGATGGGCCTGTGGCTGCAGACAGACCTCATGTGACCCTGATCTGCCTTTTGTGTTTGTGTGACTCTCATTCAGTGACTGTGCCTTCCTGTGTCTTACTTTTCTCTCAGTCAAATAAGGTAAATTGCAAATGGACTGTGGCTTTTCATGCTATATGTGAATAAATTGTAAATTCTTCACAGTCACCTGACCTAATGCTTGGTGCAGTGGAGGTGTTCACACAAACAGCATTTATTATTACTCACTTCCATGAGAGAGCACCTTGAGGTCAGATCACTGTGGATAAGCTGCTGCCAGGTACATTTTCTCTCTTCTGTTTCTGCTTCTGGGGACATTAGACTCGCAAAGCAGTTGACTGATGGCCTATAAAGCTTGTCTTTCTGTCCTCTCCACTCTGAGTGTCAGGTGAAGAAAGCTCTGTCCTGCCCAGATGAGGATCTGAGGACTGAGCCCTGGCAGTGAGCAGCTCCAGGAGACACAGTCCTCAGACGCCTGGTGAATCCTTGGTCCCAGTAAGCCCTGCCACAACCCAGCCTTGGTACAGCCTCCTCAGCTTTATCTGGAGTAAGGATTTAGGGACCGGTCTGGGGTTGAGGCCTCCAGGGCTGAACTTTTCTGAGAGTATCTCTGGGGGCCTGTTAGGCAAAGCCCTACTCAGTTCTCCAGGGTCTTTCTCAGGATCTAGTTTACGAAGAGGGCATGAGGTGCTTGGCTGAGATTCATCTCTTGCTGAGCACCCTCCCTTCAGACTGTCCTTCCTGTGCAGCAAGTGTCTGCAGGGTTTGGAGGCAGGAAAGGAATTCTGATCTGTTATAGTTTGTCTCCTCTGTGTGTGTCCTGCACTAAATGCCAAAACACCAACATGCGACATAATGCAGAGAGGGACACAGGCACCGTCTAGGCCTGACAATCCTGTTGGTGTAAAGTAGAATGGACTCCCAACCCCCAACACCCAGGGATCATGTGGAATCACTCACGGTATAAGGTGAAATGTCCAATTACTCCTTTAGTCTTATCACCTTGCTTTATCATTTGTATGGTGTAGGATCCTGTGTCCTTCTGGGTGACATTCTGGATCAGCAGGGATGCATTGGAATATACTGTTTCTCATCCACTGTATGCAGGCCCAACTATAATTGTTTCAGCATCTATTACATATGATGTAATGTAATGGCGGAAGTCCGTTTTTTGCCCTTTG